CAACAAAGGATTGTTTATTATGTTTAGCCTACTTTTCACTGTTGATATATTTTGCCAATTAAAGGCGGTTTTAGAAAGTTGTTTTTCAAGCTTGTGAGCAGTGTGCCGCTACACCTCATGGAAATAAATAGGATGCACTTGAGTAAAGTGCACTGTGGTATAAGGAAAAGCTCAGCAATAAACAAGCACCTCTTATTTTAAGTCATCAGTTTGCCCCCACGGTTATTTCACCCCATGATATCAATAAGCTGTGTGCATTACTTGACAAAACAAAGACCCTACGGTGCATGGGCCAATCTGATTGCCCATAGTCTTAAAATGCAGAATAAAAATGAATGCAAATGAGGAAGTGCTGATTTTCACAGTGGGTCAGAGACAACACCTATGCACCGTAATCAGCAATCAGAGAACAACCACTAGTGTTGCTACATCACTGCAGAAGCAAAAGTCAAGTTGACTGGCATTCCAACACCTTAACCGCTACTTGAAACATGGTGTTCAAGGCCAAATGGCCGAAATATTGGGAAATTCTGGAACAAGACGGAGACAGATTAAAATTGCAGAGCTTTGAAAAATTGAAAAACAGAGTGCGAGATTGGCTCCATTATTATCAAATAATGGAGGCATACAATCTGGAACAAAAAGTTGGCTTCCAGGTGGAAAAATCAAAATTGGAAACAGAATTGTTAGATCCAAAAATTAAGAATTTGTCAAGAATGTATAACTTGCTGTTGAAATGGAACACTCAAGATGACATGGTGAAATCAGCTATGATTAAATGGGCACAAGATGTTGGACATAACATAATGATGGCTGACGGGGAACAGTAATGGACCACAGGTATAAAATTCACGGCATGTAATGCCCTAAGAGAAAATTTAATGAAAATGATTTATAGGTGGTACATGACACCAGTCAAGCTTGCAAAAATTTACCATTTGCCCGACAATAAATGTTGGAAATGTAATGAGACTGAAGGTACATTCTTTCACCTTTGGTGGACATGCCCAAGGATTAAGACATTCTGGGAGATGATTTATAATGAAATGAAAAATGTATTCAAATATACCTTCTTGAAGAAACCAGAGGCCTTTCTCCTGGGCATGGTTGGCCAATTGGTGCCAAAGAAGGATAGAACTTTTTTTATGTATGCAACAACAGCTGCAAGAATACTCATCGCGAAGTACTGGAAGACACAAGATTTACCCACCCGGGAAGAATGGCAGATGAAGTTGATGGACTATATGGAACTGGCGGAAATGACTGGCAGAATCCAAGACCAGGGAGAAGAGTTGGTGGAAGAAGACTGGAAAAAGTTTAAAGACTATTTACAGAAATACTGTAAAATTAATGAATGTTAGAAAAATGTTGGAATGAAGTTATATGGCTTTAGTAGAAATGTTATAAGGAATTAAGTATAAATAGATTTATAGAGTATTAAAGGAAAAAATAAGGTTAGATTGTGTTAAGATAATTACAGGATAGAAAACAGAGGAAGATGGAAAGGAATTGCTGAAACAATTAACAGAAGTGGAATACAAAAAGGGAGGTGTGAGGAGGTCGTGGAAATAAGTGAATGAAAGATAAGATATTGAAATTGATTGATGTTTTCTAAACTGTTTTTGTTTTGTTTTGTTAGTTTAATGTGTTATGTAGTGTTCTTGTATTGTGTTGTATTGTATTATATTGTATTGTTCTTTTTTAATTTTCTTTTTTATCTATTTTTCTTTTGTGTGCTTAATTGTTGGAAAAGTAATAAATATTATTTTTTTTTTAAAAAAAAGAAACATGGTGTTCATATGTGGCACACTTTTATTTCCATCCATGGTTTAGAGCTTGCATGCCTAAGGTTGCTTGCTCATTTTTGTGAAAAAAAATCACTTCAAGCCATTATGATGGAATGCCAGTTAGGCTAAGTAAGCATAGCTATTCAAAGTAAAAAACAAAACAAAACCCAACTAATTAAAAATATTCATAAGCAGCAATTAAAAGTCCAATGTCCACCTAAACACCCTAAATACAATTAAAATTCAAGCCAAGACTCCTGAAGAGAGCAAAAGGAAACAATCATGTGGCTCCCATCTGATAAGCTTCTACAGCCTAGTGATTTACAGCAGAATCTTAACCATGTCTATTCAGACTTAAATCCCATTGAATTCAATGAGCCCTTCCAAAAGGGTGTGAGAGAATGCAGCGCTAACAACCAATAACAAGATAAAGGTCTACCAGGCTTGTGTGATGAGCACGCTTTATGATAATGAGTCTTGGGCAACTTACACCTGCCAGGAGTGATGCCTCAATACCTTCTCCATGTGCTGCATCAGGAAGATCTTGGGCATCACATGGCAGGACAGAGTCTCAAACAAAGACATGCTCTCCCAAGCCCACATTTGCAGCAGGTTCGCATTCCTGTTTCAGTGACGTCTACACTAGCTTGGTCATGCCCACACAGTGGAAGATGGTACGATCCCCAAGAACATGACTGAAGCTGGCTTCAGTCTCCATGCCCATTGGCAGACCGGCTCTGCATTACAAAGACGTCTGCCAACGTGATATGAACGTTGGCAACATTAACCATGTCATATGTCAATCCCCTGCAGACAACTGCAGTGTCTGGAGATAATCAGTTAGGCCATGTATTCACAACAGTGATCAGAGGAGCAATGACCGCTGGGAAGAACACAGAAAGAAGAAGCACCATGTTACACATGCATTAGCATAATCAGATGCCTTCATCTGCCCTAGCTGCAACAAAACATGTCTCTCTCACATGGTCTCTTCAGCCACAGCAGGCGCTGTAATTCTCCAATAGTTTGATTTCATCCCCAATGGCACACACTTCCATTGTCTCCTGAGACACACAGATGCCACCCAAATTCAGGATTAGAATTGCAGCTTTAGATCTGTGTTTGCCGCTGAGTAGACTGAGGTAGGCTTCCAGTATTATACCAATGCTGAGCATTTAAACAGTTTTTGCCCCTTGAAAACCTTATGTTTACACCCAAAAAGCGAAAGCTGCCAAATTTTAAACCAGTTCTTAAGTCCTTTTTAAGATTTGTAATTCATTGAGGGGGAAATGTCTAAAAGGGGGCTGCTGTTCTCATGAGTTCCCTGGGAAAAGGGATTGGTTGCTAATCACTCTGGAAACTGTAGCTATGTGAGGGGAATAGGAGTCTCCTAACAACTTTCGGCTCTCCTATAACAAAATATAACTCCCAGAATTCTTTGGGGCAGGCCATGTCTGTTTAAAGTGATATCATACTGCTTTACATGCATGGCATGACTATGGCCCTAGACAGTAGAACGTTTGCTGCCTCACCAGCCTAGAAATGGAATGACTTTTTAACTGGTTTGTGGACTGTGCACATCTCGACCCACTGTAAGATGTCAGCATTTCACTTTTGACATGTCAGGAATGTACAAAGCCTGGAAGTGCAAGACACTTGCACTTCTTGTTCCCTCTGCTTTGCTGTGATGTTGAGAGTCATACCAAGAAAGCAGAGTGGAAAAAGAGAGCTCCCTCATTTCCAAGTCTAGGCAATATTCTGTAATAGAAACATTAAATGTCAGGACTGTTTTTTTCTTTTCGCCTCTAGGCTTTTGCCTTCCTGGAGAAGTGGCATAGATAAATAAAATCTCTGTCCTTTGGGAATCATGCAGCTACAGTGACATCTATGGCTAGGTAACTAGGCTTCATCTTTCTCTTAAATATACTTGTAGTGGGAAGCAAACTGTGGCCTCCTGGAGAGCTCCTGTGCCTGTGGGAGAGAGCCAGAAGGGCAAGGAAACAAAATTAATCTCTTGGTGTTTCGCTGTAATCTTCTCTCCAGAGAGCAACAATTTAAAGGCTGTGGAGAAAATCAGGGTGTAGCTGTTCATAAGACATATATATATATATAGCAGGGCAAAAAGAACCCCCAGTCCGTGCTCCTTTGGAACATGTCAACACAGCTTCTTCTTCTTTTAAAATATTGCTTACTTCCAGGCTCTTTGGGCTTTGATAAATTGTGTGGACATTTAGGTGCAGTGGCTGCTGGAGGAGAAATCTACCAGGCTGGTATGCAACTGATGTCAATGTTTCTCGTGTTCTCCTGATTGCAGATATATGGGAGAGCTGTTAGTATGTGTTGAGTCAAATCACCTTTCTCCCTGAGCATAGAACCAATGGAAAGGGGGCTTTATATTCTCCCCACCCTGCGATAGAAGGGGGATCTCCAAAAGCATAGCCACAATTGCACTTGTAGGCACTTGGTTCACCACTGTGGGAACAGAAGAGCTGGATTATGTAAGCCTTTGGTTGGATGCAGTCGGGCTCCTCTCATATTCCTATATCCTTATATGCCAGTGTGGCATAATGTCTTCTCATAATACCTAACCATTGGCCATGCTGTCTGTGGCTGATGGAGTTGTAATAGAAGTGAGAAGTACCAGGTTTAGGAAGCCCTCTGAGGGTATTCTCCATGTTAATGGGATGCTATTCCCCTCCTCATTATGTCTGCCAGACATCATCATCAACAACAACAACATCATCACCATCATCATCATTATTAAATTTCTATGTCACCCTTCATCTGAGGATCAGAGGACAGTTTAAAATATAAAAATATAAAAATCAAGTGTATCAAGGAGAAGAACAGCAACATCTTCTGATGAAAGCCAGACTTCCCATAGCATCATAGAAGCCAACTCCTAGGGGCTGTGGAGGCTTCAGCTCCCACAATAAAATAAATGAGAGGACTGAGCCCCTGAAAAGTTGATGGGCATTGCCATTCAAATGGTGTGTGTGAACTGCATCATGTGATCGATTATGTGGGGCGGGGCTTACCTGGGCCCCCACAATATTTTATTCAAGTTGGCACCCCTGCATGGCATCAGTCACAATGCCCTGGAACAATGCAACCAGTTACGACAGTGGCCATAAGGTAGAGCATAAGGACATTGGAAGCTGGCTCATACTGAGACAGAGTGTTGGTCCATCTTGCTCAGTATGTCCACACACTTGTCTACACTGGGATTGAACCTGGCACCTTCTGCATGCAAGGCTGATGCTCCACCACTGAGCTACAGCCCTTCCCCTAATGGTGGCAGGCCCATCACAGCTGCCCAAGGATGCTACCTCTGCATGCCAAATCTGGATATGGTGATATCACATAATTAGTCAGATCTGACCTCTGCATTCTAGGATGCTTAGCCTACTAGCTAATTCTGATTCTCAGTTCCAGTTCCACTGTCAGGTTACGTATTATGAATATCAGTATCGTGTCATTTTAGCATGTATCTCTTGTATGGGTTTTGTACGCCTTGCTCAACCTGTGTATCTTTTTTCTTATCTTTTCTTTCTTCATCTCTCTCTCTCTCTCTCTCTCTCTCTCTCTCTTTCACATACAGATACATTTAATACAACAGATTGCCTATAGGAGCGGTGGCGTTTCAAAATCTAAACCCCAGTTCACTTGCTTCTTCATCCAGATTCATGGGGTTTTTGTTTAGTCAGCAAGATAAGTGCAGAGGGGCTGTCACTATCTGGAGCCAGCCTTGCTGTAAATGTCTGTAGTCAGTGATGGAAAGGCAGAGGGTGTGATTTGCTTTTACTCCTTTCAGAAGGCAGTCACTGTAATGTACGTACTGCTTCCAAGAAACCATAATAGAAGCATGCTTGGAGGAGGAATAGAATCTCTTTTGTTAGGAGCACTGGGTTTTAAAGAGATTTACTTAAGGGTTGCTAAAGGCTTCTGTCCTGATCAAAGTGCACAAGTCTATAGTCAGGCTGACAAAACTCAGAGAGGCCATTCTATAGCTTAGGCATGGGGAATCTCAGGCCCAAGGGAGAAATCTGTCTCTCCAGGTCTTTCTATTTGGGTACTGAGACTCTGCCCAAGCCACACTCTTCTCCAACCACACTTACAGACCCTTCTTGGGTGCCCCTCCTACAGCTTGGTTGCATCCTCCTTGAACTCTGATAAAAGCCTCTTGCTTGACTAGGTGGAAACTAGAGAATCGTCTCTGAATATATGTAGAGTCTGGTGTACTGTACAAAGGCAATATTCACTGTTCCACCCACTTTTGCCTCTAGTCCTGCTCATCCCAGGCATGTGGCCCCTGGAAGGTTGCCCAGAAGTGAATGTGGCCCTTATGTGGAAAAGGGTTCCCTACCCTGTGCTATAGCTCCTTCAGCTAGTACAGAACAAAAAAGCCAAGCCAACGGGATAGAAGGATGGATAGACGGACTTAGTCAGTACTCAAGGAGAAACTCTCCTGCAGAATGCACTTACCTACTGAGTCATTAAGGGATAAGGTGGTCTCTTCAGTAATCTGGTCCTAAGCTGTAAAGGGCCTTAAATGTTGGTACCAAAACCTTGAACCTGGCCCCATAGCAGATTGGCACTCTGTGCGACTCTCACAAGCAAGGTATTGGAGGTCACAGCAACACTGTACATGTAAAGCACATGGCCTTCCCCCAGAGAATCCTGGGAACTGTAGTTTACACCTCACAAACTACACATAACATCACCCTTAACAAACTACATTTCATGCTTTAAATGTATGGTGTTTTGTGAGTGTAGCCCGACAGTAGTTTCCCTCACAAGCAAACTAGATGCTGCCTTCTGCACTAGCTGCTTCTTCCAAACCAACTTCAAGGGCAGTCCCACATAAAGCACATTGAAGTAATCCAGCCCTGCCTGCTACCAATGCATGGGCAACAGTGATGAAACTATTTTTAGCCAGAACTATTGTAGCTGCCTTACTGGTGCCCTCTAGATGTTACTGGATGGAAACCTCTCTAAGTTCTCTCTCTCTTTTTTCTTTTTCTTTTGATGTATAGGTGGTATACCACACCAGTAAAATTGGCAAAAATGTATAAAACAGAACAAAAGAACTGTTGGAGATGTAAAGAAGGGGAAGGTACATTTTGCCATGTGTGGTGGGATTGCAAGATTATTTTTTAAAAAATGGGAAATGATATACAATGAATGGAAGAAAAATGTTTAAAATAACATTTGTTACAAAACCAGAAGCCTTTTTGTTGGATATTTTGGGACAAGAGTTGCTGAAAGAAAAACGGACATTATTTATGTATGCTACAACAGCAGCAAGAATGTTAATAGCACAAAATAGGAAGACTGGAGAAGTACCATCCAAAGAACAATGGCAAGAAAAGTGGATGAACTATGCAGAGTTAGCAAAATTAACTGACAAGTTGCGTGAAAAGGACAATACAATTGTACCTTAGGTTACATACGCTTCAGGTTACAGACTCCGCTAACCCAGAAATAGGGCTTCAGGTCCAACTTTTCAATAGGCTTCCGGTGAGATCTTACTTATCCAGTGGCAGCAACAGAGTTGGAATCCCACATCACCCTGTGGGATTCCACAATATAATAATAATAATAATTTATTATTTATACCCCGCCTATCTGGCTGGGTTTCCCCAGCCACTCTGGGCGGCTTCCAAAAGAATATTAAAATATTGTGATACATCAAACATTAAAAGCTTCCCTAAACAGGGCTGCCTTCAGATGTCTTCTAAAAGTCTGGTAGTTGTTGTTCTCTTTGACATCTGGTGGGAGGGCGTTCCACAGGGAGGGCGCCACTACCGAGAAGGCCCTCTGCCTGGTTCCCTGTAACTTGGCTTCTCGCAGTGAGGGAACCGCCAGAAGGCCCTCGGTGCTGGACCTCAGTGTCCAGGTAGAATGATGGGGGTGGAGACGCTCCTTCAGGTATACTGGACTGAGGCCGTTTAGGGCTTTAAAGGTCAGCACCAACACTTTGAATTGTGCTTGGAAACGTACTGGGAGCCAATGTAGGTCTTTCAAGACCGGTATTATATGGTCTCGGCGGCCGCTCCCAGTCACCAATCTGGCTGCTGCAGTCTGGATTAGTTGTAGTTTCCGGGTCACCTTCAAAGGTAGCCCCACGTAGAGCGCATTGCAGTAGTACAAGCGGGAGATAACCAGAGCATGCACCACTCTGGCGAGGCAGTCCGCGGGCAGATAGGGTCTCAGCCTACGTACCAGATGGAGCTGGTACACAGCTGCCCTGGACACGGATTTAACCTGTGCCTCCATGGACAGCTGTGAGTCCAAAATGACTCCCAGGCTGTGCACCTGGTCCTTCAGGGGCACAGTTACCCCATTCAGGACCAGGGAATCCTCCACACCTGCCCGCCCACTGTCCCCCAAAAACAGTACTTCTGTCTTGTCAGGCTTCAATCTCAATCTGTTTGCCGCCATCCATCCTCCAACCGCCTCCAGACACTCACACAGGACCTTCACTGCCTTCACTGGTTCTGATTTGAAAGAGAGGTAGAGCTGGGTATCATCCGCGTACTGATGAACACCCAGCCCAAACCCCCTGATGATCTCTCCCAGCGGCTGCATGTAGATGTTGAAAAGCATGGGGGAGAGGACAGAACCCTGAGGCACCCCACAAGTGAGAGCCCAGGGGTCTGAACACTCATCCCCCACCACCACTTTCTGAACACGGCCCAGAAGGAAGGAGCGGAACCACTGTATGACAGTACCCCCAGCTCCCAGCCCCTCAAGACGGTCCAGAAGGATGTTATGGTCGATGGTATCAAACACCGCTGAGAGATCCAGCAGAACTAGGAAACAGCTCTCACCTTTGTCCCTAGCCCGCCGGAGATCATCAACCAGTGCGACCAAGGCAGTTTCAGTCCCGTGATGAGGGCTGAATCCCGACTGGAAGGGATCCAAATGGTCCGCTTCTTCCAGGCGTGCCTGGAGTTGTTCAGCAACCACTCACTCAATCACCTTGCCCATGAATGGAAGATTTGAGACTGGGCGATAGTTGGCCATCGTGGCCGCATCTAAAGATGGTTTTTTAAGAAGCGGTTTAATAACCGCCTCTTTCAGCGGGTCTGGGAAGACTCCCTCACGGAGGGAAGCATTCACCACCCCACGAAGCCCATCGCCCAGCCCTTCCCGGCTAGCTTTTATAAGCCAGGATGGGCAAGGATCAAGGAGACAGGTGGTTGGCTTCACTCGTCCAAGCAGCCTGTCCACATCCTCGGAGGTAACAGATTGGAATTGATCCCACGCAATTTGACTAGACAGGACTCTAGCACTCTCCCGCCCTGGCCCTGCTCCCACGGTGGCGTCTATCTCTTCCCGAATCTGAGTGACTTTATCTGCAAAAAACTTTGCAAAATCATTGCAGGAGATCATGTGGCCCGCTAAATTGCGGACCACCTGAAAAAGTCTCCTGCTGCTGTTTTCTGCAGATGCAATAGAGGCGGTGAAGAAAGTCTTCTTCGCCGTCGCTACCGCCACTTGGTAGGCTCGACATTGAGCTCTAACCTGTTTCCGGTCAGCTTCAGAATGGGTCATCCGCCACCGGCGCTCTAGCCGTCTCAACGATTGTTTCATTGCCCTCAGATCCGTGGAAAACCACGGGGCTGTCCGGGCTCCATGCAATCGGAGAGGGCGCTTCGGAGCCAAACAGTCAATAGCCCTGGTTAACTCCACATTCCAGCGGGCCACCAGGGAATCAGCTGAAAGGCCATCAACATGGGGACTTCCGGGTTAGCGCCATCGCCGAATGGCGGACTCCCTCCGAGCTCCGGAGGGAGTCTGCTCGGCAGGGGCTGGGTCCTACCGCGCCGGCGACGCGGGGACCCTTAAAAACCACGGGCACGGAGTCCGTGGACATGGGTGACTCGGCTTGCACCATTAGCGCCCTCCCGACTCGTGAAGGAGCCTTTTTAAAGGCTTCGGATCGGGTGCCGGGAGTGGCGTGGTGCTTTGAGTCCACTGCTTTCCCTGCCGAGCGCAGCCGCATGCCATTCGACGGAGAGCGCTGACTTCTTCTATTGAAAATTTGGACTATTAACAACAACCCGTGAGTAATTGGGAAACCGGGTTCAAAATTTTGGATTTGGCACGAGCGGGGCGATTTAAAAAGGAAGTCAATCCCCCCCCCTTATTGTAAGCATTCCAAAACAAGGACTGGGTAACCAAGGTCCAAAGGGAAGTATGTCTCTGATAAAAATCATTAATTTCACGATGGGAAATTATAAGAAATGTGCTGGAGGAGAAGAGTGGAGGGTGA